GTCAAAGCAGCTCAATAGACCCCTTGCATGTGATGTCAAAGCAGCTCAATAGACTCCTTGCATGTGATGTCAAAGCAGCTCAATTTGGATGAGAAAACAAAAGAATTTTTATTCTCATGAGAACTGGAAAACTATTGTTATGTCCTCCAAATTGAGCTGCATTCCTACACAGCTTTCTGTCCCCCTTATGAACAAGCTGTGATGTCAGCAATTGATAGAAATATAACAAATTAGCAAAATTAGTTTTGACAATGATACACTTACTAGTCACTAAGGAATCTTGCTGGTAGGACTCTGGGATTGTCATCTCTATGTTCCAACAACTGTCCTATTGCATCCTTTAAGTACAATCGATATATTAACATAAAACATTAAGGAGATTTGCTGTTATTTGTTCATGGATTAGTCCACCGGAATTTGGGTAGGGGTGTTCTGCTGGGATTCTGAAAGGGGTACCCTGTTTATGACAAAAAAAACTCAAATTTGTAGATCCTGTTTATGACAAAAGATATAATTCATTGCACTGAGTATAACCAGTTTAGGTCAATACGAAAGTAGAAACCCTGAATATGACAGGAAACTCAGGAAGAACTTGGAACTTGAGTGAAATTGCATACCCTGTTTATGGTAAGAAGCTCAAAAAACCATACCCTGTTCAGCGGATCATCCCCGTATAGTCCATATGTGGGAGTACCCCCCCCCCCTACCCCCGGGACAAGGCAAGAGGGAGAGTAGTTGCACTGCTTTATCAATCTTGCAGATTGAGTGTAGCAAGAGTCAATAGGCCACTTTAGAAACAAGTGAAGGACTTGGAGCGAGTACATACAGTAGAAGGTGTTGATAATTATTCTATTTAAGAAAATTTCCATGACGAGAAATAGCACATCAAAATCAACAGGTTTCTTCAGTAACAGCTAAATTATAAGCTAATTTTTAGAAGGGGGTGACTATTACAAACATTTTACCAGGAATTTGAGGTAAAGGGGGTTGAATGTTACTTAGGATAAACTGAGAAATTTAAACAAATGGGGGTTGACTAGTCACCTAAGCCCCCCTGGAAACACCCCTGTCAATATTTACATACAAACATCTTACCTCTAAGTAGGTCAATACGTGATATTTTTCTACAAACAAAAAAGGTAAAAATGATTCAAATAAGTGATGATTAAACTGTAAAAAAAGGTTTGCAGCAATTATGGCATAGAAGCTACATTTCCATACATTTCCATTGATCTAAAATATTTTTCAAAGGTAGTTCTAACATCAACATGGCTAGCAGATACTTTATAAGATTTCGAACAAACAACCTGTTTCTCTAGGCACATTTTCAAGGATATCCTTCAATACTACTGTACTTAGAGGCTTTTATGGCACTTTTCATTTCATACCGTAGGCAGCAGGGGGTACGGGGTGGGGCAGGGGAGCTAGAGCCTCACCACTTAAAAGTTTTGGGGTAGCTGCAATTCAACCTAATTACTGAATTACTTTCAGTTCACACTTTTCATTTTTTGTTACTGAATTTATTTCATTTGACACAGCCTTCTCTTTTATCCTCATTTTTAGCCTTTTTTGCTTATCTAGAACTCTACATCATTCTCCTTTAGGAATATTCATTTTTTTACTGGGGAGAGATGCCGTAATAAAGAATGCATTGTCCTAAACTGGTTGACACTATCGTTTCTGGGCGACGACTGTCTCTGGGAACGTTACAGGGGTCATTTAAAAATGAGGCTTAACAATTTGTGCAGGACTTTTACTTAACAATAACAGTACAAAAACAAGGAAAATGCCATTTTTTATGCATAACAGAAAGGGGGTTAGAATTCTTTTATGGGTTGTCAATTGAATCCCACTATATTCCACCCCCCCCCCCTCTGATTATTATTGATTATTATAAACTAATGGTCCCCTATATCATCTGTGTCCATTCCCCAGTTCTCTTGGATGACAGGGTAAATATTTTCGTTAAGGAAATTAGTGCAAACTATTAAATGTGCAGTCAAGGACTCAGTCAAAATGAGGAATAATGATGTGAAGGGTGAGTGCACCATTAAACTGCTCCCCTATGCCATAAACATGAATTTCCCAATCTGATGTGTGGCCCATGTGTTCTGATGGCAGCTTGGAAGCAGCCCTATTGAAGTGCGGGGTCTGAATAATCTATGCTATGGATTTCATCAAAGTGTGGCACGCATTAAAAAATTCGTCTGCGAATTTGCCTATGAGGCGTTGTGACTCCGCCCACTTGGAGGTGTGATTTTGTCTGCATTCCTTTCTCGTGAAATTGCACAATGAACATCAGCGAACTTGGTCATGTTTACAGTAGGGGAAAGAGCATAAATAGTGATTTGAGATCTATCGTTATATATGAGATTGTTGAAACTGGTGGGGATATCATAACAGGATTTTCTCCTGGAAAATTCGTAGAAATTGCTTGAAAACTTCCCCTGCCTCCATACTCAACTTTGAACTCATACCAGCTTCTACTTGCCGCCATAATTTTGAATTGAACGTTGCACGGGAATAGCCGAGAAAGGAATGCAGACAAAATCACACCTCCAAGTGGGAGGAGTCACAAGAGTCTCGTAGGCAAATTCGCAGACAAATTTTTTAATGCGTGCCACACTTTGATAAAATCCGTAGTACTTAACCTATATTTAATTCTGCAAAGAACATGCATGATACGGGAAAAGACCATGCTTGATATGAGACCGTATCAGTACTGTTCATCTGCTCGCGATCTGGTACGATATAGTTTAGAGAGAGTTTGAGCATTTCTTTGCAGAATTAAATGATAAACAACTTATCACTCGGCTATGTGCATCTGATACGGCTGTGCATTATTCTTCGTTTGCAATAGACATCATAGCCGCCATGTTGGAAGAATTTAACAAAAGATTTTTCAATGAATTCTTTTGTTATATCTTCCAACATGGCGGACATCCCTTTTGTTATTGTGCTCTCTTGGGATTGATTGCAAACCAAGAATTACTCGTTACTTGTATTTTGGCTTGACTAAAGGCTTGCCAAAACACTCCGTCACTCATAAAAATACTCAGCCGTATCAGTAACTGATAACCTCCATATACTAAATTTTGGGAATGAATTATTATTCGTATCACAATAATTTTGTAAACAAATATACTGTATCCCCAAAATAAATTCACGACCGATAATACAATCCATCTTTAAAATGCAGCAGAAATAATTCGTAATCTTAAAATTTAGAGGCCAATATTCTGTAATACATTCGCTAAAAAAAACTAAAAATCATAAAATCTTCAAACCCTGACAGGGCCTCTTAGAAACCATGTTAAACAAACACTTCATCTTACATACCTAAATACTGCTCGTTGGTCAGTGAGAATCTATCACTTGCTGAGGTACTCATGATAAATCTTAAAAGCAATGTTTTAGCTCCTCTGAAGTCATTTATTCCTCTGCTAAATGCAGAAAAATAGACAAAAAAAGGAGATTTTTGTCATCAAAATATAAAATGTATATTTGTAAATTGCCGACTGATTGAAAATGTTACGGTCACTAAATGAAGCATTGTGGGTAATATTCAAGATGGCGACCTCAGACGATCTCAATGATTTTAACGAAGAAGCATTTTACCAACAACTGCTTCTTGAAGAAACTAAATACTTGCAAAAGAAAGCAGGGGATGATTCAATAGAATTTATTCCCGATCCTGGATTCGTGCTCAAGTCCAAAATAAGTAGCGAAGGTAGAGAAAAGAAGGTTTTCGTTAATATTTGTACATCAAAACACATACCGAAAGCTAAAGAAGTCACTGAGAAAGAACTCGCTGAGATCCTTGATTCTGAAGATCCCATGAGGTATAGAGTACCTTTAAGCTTAGGAGAACCTCACGCGGAGATAGACAAGAGTGGCAACGGTAAGACAATTTATGAATTTACCTGTCAAAATTCGAATGGTTTTATAAATTATGAAAAGTTTAGAAAACTTAAATTATACTTGAGATTTTGCCCTTAGACTGGTGTTGTAAAGCAGAACTCAAACGGTACATTGCACCACCAAACCCCTTTGAAGCTTTGAACCCATCCCACAATTATTCCATTTAAAGAAAAGACATAAAGACACTGAAGGTGTTTACTGCAGGGGCTTCTTCACATACAAAGTGGTTCTTTTACATCCCAGTGGCGGATTCAGGAATTTTAAAAAAGGTGTGACTATTACAAAGGTTTTACCAGGAATGAGATGAAAAGGGGGTTGAAACGTCAGTCTACTATCTTTGGTACCTACGGTGATAAAATTATCTACTACGACACATTCAATTAAGTGATACCTAACACTTTGCAGATGGAATTCCAATTTAAAGGCAGTACCAATCAGAAAGCTGTAGGAAACAATAGCCTTTCAACATATCTTTTTATTCCCAAGAGAAAACAAGAATGGCTATCTAGTCGTTTGCGTATAACATCAGGGTCAAATATCATTCTCAGGCACTCTAGCTTTCTGATTGGCTCAACTAACCAAAGTTCAAATGCATTGTTTTCATTCTACGTTTAATTTTTTTTTAAATTAATGAATTGCAAGCATTCCCAAGAGAGTCAAAAGACAAAAACATGGCAGCCATTTTGGTGCCGTTAACAATGGATGCTAATTAGAAATGTTTTGTTAAATTGCACCAGCATGGTTACGATAACGTACAGTAACGTGCAACCAAAGAAGTGGTTTTCTTGCCTAAAAGGCCTTGGGCACAATAGATGCACTATGGGTGATACCTAAAACAAGAAGCATTATCATAATCATCATCAATATCAATGTCTGTTCACTGGGGGGAAAGTGGGTTGGGGGGGGGGCTCGATGGACGGTTTTGAAAATGTCCCTAAAACGTACGCATAAATTAACTGAGATGCTGATTTCTGATTTTAGACCCTAAAAGGTTTGACCACATTTAAAATGACAAAGTTTCCAACCATTATATTCTTGTATGACGTTTGATATTTTTCAAAACAAACAAATCTGACCCTAAAAGGTATGGAGTCAGCCGGGAGTCAGCCGGAGACCCTAAAAGGTATGCGAGGTCTCATTTTTGACCCTAAAAGGTCCATCAAGCCCCCTCAAGAGAGTCCTCCCCCCTCCCCCCAATTCCCCCTGGGTGTCTGTTGTTACAAAGAAGATTTATTTATGTTTGATTTTTTTTTCTAGGATGTACAGTATATGACATAGTGATTCATCCATCATTTCTGAAGAAAGTCCAAGAAAATTCATTCTTTCAGAACTTCTTCCTTACTGTAGTATTTCAAGGACTAGAGGAGAAATATGGACTTGAGCTTGATAGAAACTGGACAATATTAAAAAATAAGAAAAGCATGGGTAAAGTCCAGTCTCACTTTATAAGAAATAAAAGCAAACCAGTCATTATGGACATGGAAAATAATTCTCAGAATACAAGTCAGCCTGTGGTCAAAGGTACAGTAATGCATAGTAGAAACTTTTAATAAACACAGTTTAATATAAATACACAGGTGATTATTGAAAATCTTGTGCGTTGATTGGTTGAGAAACTCAGATTATTACACAATAATCACCTCCAGCGATAATCCAAAATGGCTGCCAACTGCTTTGCTGCTGTTACTGGGAAAAAATGTGTCTTTTATCTTCTTTTTTTCTTTTTTTTTTTTTTTTTGGAAGAA